GTAATTTGCCTAAAATTAGACGAGAAACTCTGTGAAGGCAGAGATTACGTGTCTGGGTCATAGTGGATCAGCAGGGAGCAGTAGAGCACCTGAAAAGTCGTAGCCAATCAATACTTCTTAAAAAATAAAAAAAATGGGCTGGGCTCAGTGGCTCATGCCTGTAATCTTAGCACTTTGGGATGCCAAGGAAGGAGGACTGCTTGAGGCCAGGAGTTGGAGACCAACCCTGGCAACATAGTGAGACTCCCATCTCTACAAAAAATTAAAAACAAAAAATAGCCTGGAGTGGTGGTGTGTACAGGTAGTCTTAGCTACTCGGGAGGTTGAGATGGGAGGAAAGATTGAGTCCAGGAGTTCAAGATCAGCCTGGGCAACACAGTGAGACTCTCTCTCTACAAAAAATAGAAAGGAATAAAACAAAAATTGAGTACTCATTATGTGTAAGTATTGCTTTTGGAGTGTTTAGTATGAGTGTTACTGATCAGTACACAGATGGTGTAAATACAGTGTAATAAGTATTAAAGAGATAAGGCCCTGTGCAGTGGCTCACACCTGTAACCCCAGCACTTTGCTAGGAGTTCAGGACCAGCCTGGGCAACATGGCAAAATCCCATCTCTACAAAAAATACAAAAGTATTTGCTGGGCATGGTGGCACATACCTGTGGTCCCAGCTACTTAGGAGGCTGAGGTGGGAGGATCGCTTGAGCCGGGGAGGCTGAAGCTGGAGTGAGCCAAGATCGTGCCACTGCACTTCAGCCTGGGTGACAGAGTGAGACCCAGTCTCAAAAAAGAAAAAAAAAAAAAGATTAAAGAAAAAAAGAGATAAGCATAGGAGGGAGGCTACTAGAATAGAATAGTGATTCTAAAGAATTCAGGGATATGGAGGCTTCTTGGACAAAGTAACGCTTGAGCTGAGTTTTTTTGGGGGGCGGGTTTTGTTTATCTTAAGACAGGGTTTTGCTCTGTTGCCCAGACTGGAGTGCACTGGCGCAATGATGCAATCAATTATGGCTCACTGCAGCCTGGACCTCCTGGGTTCGGGTGATTCTCCCATCTCAGCCTCCAGAGTAGCTGAGACTACAGACTCACGTGGCCACTCTGGCTAATTTTTGTATTTTTAGTAGAGTCGGGGTTTTGCCATGTTGCCCAGGTTGGTCTCGAATTCCTGGGGCTCAAGCCATCCTCCCACCTCCGTCCCCGAAAGTGTTGGGATTACAGGTGTGAGACATTGTGCCCGATCTGAGCTGAGTTTTGAAGATAGTCAATGGGGCACAGTATGTGTTAAATCACTGTGGAATGAAATAGCATTATACATTTGAGGAACCAAAAACAGTGCAGTTTGGCTGAAGAGAAGAATGAGGTGGCATGATGGTGTTACGGTAGATTAGGTTATAGGGTGGATCTAGATCTATTTATATGCTATGTTAAAATTTCGGCTTTATTCTAAATTTAGAAATCACTCAACCATGTTAAACAGAGGAATGACAGAATCATATCTTCATTTTAGGAAGACCAATCAGGCAGCAGTGATAGTGCAAAGTGGGGGTAGAACGGAGGTGGGAAGGTTTAAACTAAGTATAGAGAGATAATAGAATACATAGGAAAGATATCACTGAGAAAGAAATTGGATTGTGGGGGCTGAGTGAAGGGTGCTAGAATGACTGCTAGGCTTCAAGTTTGGATGTAGTGTCACTTAATAAGGTAGATAATAGAAGTAGAGGTTTTGTTTTTGTTTTGAGGGTAGGTGAGGAGGCAAAAAGGATAATAAGTCCAGTCTTTCCTTAAGCTCAAGGTACCAATGGGACACATAAGTGTGCATGTTAGTCTTCTTTTGATGCTATCATCAGGTCACCCACTCTCACAGATGGTTTTCTTTGTTGTTGTTGTTGTTTTTGGAATGGAATCTCACTCTCTCTTTTGCCCAGGCCGGAGTTTAGTGGCATGATCTCGGCTCACTGCCACCTCTGCCTCTGGAGTAGCTGGGATTACAGGCAAGTGCCACCACACCCAGCTAATTTTTGTATTTTTTTGGTAGAGACAGGGTTTTGCCACGTGGGCCAGGCTCGTCTCCAACTCCTGAGCTCAAGCGATCTGCCCGCTTCGGCCTCCCAAAGTGCTGGGATTATAGGTGTGAGCCACCGCACCCGGCCACAAATGTCTCTTTGTGTGTGTGTGTGTGTGTGTGTGTGTGTATATATGTCTTTGAGGCAGCATAATCTTTCCAAGCTTTTTATGTGCTATGAGGCCCCATAAAAAGGAATCGGATGAATAAACAGGTTGTATGTTGGTAACTATAAGATAAATAGTACTTTAATAATTTGAAGAAATATGAAATCTTAACACTTTGCGAAGCCAACGGGGGTGGACCACTTGAGCCCAGGAATTGGAGACTAGCCTGGACATCATGACAAAACCCCGTCTCTACAAAAAATACAAAAATTAGCTGGGCGTGGTGGATGCACGCCTGTAGTCCCAGCTACTCAGGAGGCTAAAGTGGGAGGACCACCTGAGCCAGGGAGCTCCAGGTTGCAATAAGCAGAGATTACACCACTGCATTCCAGCCCGGGCAACAGAGTGAAACCCCGTCTCAAAAAAAAAATAAATAAAATAATAATTTGAAGAAATAGTCCCTAGCATTATAGTACTACGATCTAATATCTCATTTCATATATAAATAAAACATGGCAGCATGAGTAACAAGTCCAATCTGCTTTCCATTATACTGTAATAACAGTAAAGCAGACATGATAAAATAAGATGAATTACTTTATCTCTTTGAAATTACTTCCTGATTGGTTGGTAGTGCATACTCCTTAGTACAAGTTTTATTGGCTTTTGCAACAAAGAAAAAAATTTTTAAAAGTAACAGATCTTAAATGCAATTTTCCTGTATCGCTATTAATATAATTACCGAACCTAATTTCCTTATGTTGCTAATTATTTTTGTCTTATTTTTCAAATAAATGCTTCTTAGCTATATTAATTTTTAGAAACATTCTAGTGCATTAGGATATTTTCTAGGAAACTAAGCACATAAAAATACCCACGATTGTACTTAAAATATTAGCCTTGTCTCTTATGCGTATATTACACTCACTCAAACTTTTAAAAAAAATTTTCCGACACGGAGTCTCGCTTTGTCGCCAGACTGGAGTGCAGTGATGCGATCTCGGCTCTCTGCAACCTCAGCCTCCTGGGCTCAAGCAATTCTCGTGCCTCAGCCTCCTCAGGAGCTGGGACTACAGGCGTGCGCCACCACGCCCGGTTAATTTTTGTATTTTTAATAGAAATGCGGTTTCACAATGTTGGCCAAGCTAGTCTCGAACTCCTGGCCTCAAGTGATCGCCCACCTCGGCCTCCCAAAGTGCTGGGATTACAGGCTTGAGCAGCCGCGTCCGGCCATATTCACTTAAACATTTAATGACCCAGGAGAACATCCATCTAGGATTTTAAGTTGTACTCACAATGCTTTTATTTTCTGTTTCGATCAAAATAGTCTATTGATGACAATATTTGTGAGCCCATTCATTTCTAAGATATCAAATTGTTAGTCTAGCCAGTCTCCTTCAAACTTTTCTCCCTTTACCTACCATCGTCAAGATCTAAAGGAATTCACTACCTCTTCTTCTCCCAAGAAAAAAAAAAATCGCTCCTCCCCCTCTCCCAACCCCCCGAAACACAACCCATTCCAGAAAAGGAAAGAAGAGGGGACGCAAAGTGGAATAAGTTACGACGCGCGACCCAGCGCACAGAAACGGTACCAAAGCCCAGGCTCGAGACGGAGACGAGGAATCAGTAACCACAGCCGGAGGATCTTGGCTATTTGCCAGAAGAGAACTGACTGGTGCTAAGAAACCAGAGACAGAGCCAGTGACAGGAAGGGAAAGAGGGCCCACCCTTGGGACTGCCTGAAACACCCAAAGAATGAAAAAGAAACGTCAGGAATCCGAGACGGGCTGCCGTCGGCCAGAGCGACCAGCCAGGTTAATAACAAGCTCCGAAGCCCGGCACACGGGTGAGAGACCCTTGGGAAGGAAACTGCGCCTGGGGACGGCCTGCTCGAAGAAACTGATAACCAGGAAGCCTACGGCCGCCTCGCTTCCAAAAGCCAAAGTCGGAGCCCCGGCGCCCCGTAGCTGCCGGCAGACACCGCACCCGGTCAATACGCCGGCCTAGAGGCGGAGCCCGAGCTCTTTCCCCGCCCTCTAACGGCGACCCGGGTTGCGTTCTCAGTGCGCCGGCGTAGGGTGAGGCCGGACTCTATTTGGCGATTAAGCGTGAGGCTGCGTTCGCTACCCAGCATGCTGTGCGCTAGTGACGGCCCTCCGCCTATCCCCTTCCCAACTCTCCCCCCACCCCTCCCGCCGCGGCCCCCCTTCCCCTAAAGTGAGTGAGTGAGACGGGCAGATGGAGGAGGGACTGTAATGGCGGCGGCCGGCAGCTCCCTGCTCTGACCCACGGCAGGCACACAGTAACGACCCCTTCCCCGCCCCTCTCCCGGCCGGCCTCCGCCCCGCAGCCAGCGCGGGGCCACCCTCTCCGGCCCTTCCCCCAGCTGTCGGCGTCTCGCCCTGCGCCCCGGCCGGGGCCCCACACACAATGGACGAGCTTGCCGGAGGCGGTGGTGGCGGCCCGGGGATGGCGGCCCCTCCCCGGCAGCAGCAGGGACCTGGGGGGAACCTGGGCCTTCCGCCGGGGGGGAACGGAGCGGCGGGCGGCGGGGGTCCTCCGGCCTCCGAGGGAGCGGGTCCCGCGGCAGGCCCCGAGCTGTCCCGGCCGCAGCAGTACACTATCCCGGGGATACTGCACTACATCCAGCACGAGTGGGCTCGGTTCGAGATGGAGCGGGCGCACTGGGAGGTGGAACGGGCCGAACTGCAGGTACCTCGTTGGGGTCGGTGTGCGGGACGGCTGCGGCGGCTGGGTTCCCGGCCGGGGGGTGGGGCCGGGGACTCCCCTCAGCCGGAGCCGGTGCCTTGGGAGGCCGAGCGGAACCTACCTGTGCTGCTCGGGGTGTGATGGTCCTCTCAACGGCTTTTCCTGGAGTCCCCCTCCCTCTTTCCCGCAGAAGCTTGCTCCCCAACCTTCACTAGCTACGCGGTGCGGGCCTCCTCCGGGCAGCCATTTTGGCTTTTAGTATGGCGTCTGCGGGGGCTCCTCTGGAGGCGGCCTTCCCGGGTCTCCGGGGCTTGGGGCCGAGCACCTTTCTGTGGGAGAGTCCGGTTTGGGGCCTCTCGACCCAGAGTTTACTCTTGTTTGTTCCTCTTGAGATGAAGAGCCTGACGAGAATGACTAGGATAGGCATCTTACCCCCCTTTTCCGGACCACCCCCCCTTTCCGATTTGGCATATCTGGCCCCCTCCCTCAGTCTTGGTACGCACTTGCCCCTTGACAGCCACGCTTCTTTCCTGGGCTGCTACGGTGCACAGTGACTTGGGACTGACCTGTGAAGTTTTATTTCCCATCGTCAACTTTTTAAGTACTTTCTTACCTGAGATGCTGCCTTAGTCACTTGGATTTTCTGTAGTTATTCCTTACTTAGTGACTCATCAACGCTTTCAGCACTGAATTTTTCTTTTCACAGTACTCCACTAGATCTCCTTTCCTCATCTCTTTATCCATAAAAAAACCCAACCAGACGATCGATGCTGTACTTATGAAACGACTGAAGACATTTAATATTCGCTTGAACTGAAATGTAGTTATATCATGTTACTTGTGCAGGAGAAGTGAGATGTTCTCAGGACCCTTCATAGTTGAGCTTGACTCGATCCTCATGATGTGAACCTTTGATAGGCTACACATTTGGAAGCTGTTGGTAGTTAACAGCTCATGTCCTGGTTCTCAAAATTGCTGCATCTTTTTGAAAGGATTATTTAACTTTCTTAGGTATTTGTGTTTATTTTTAAGTACCTTTCCAGGGCAAATTTAGGCTTAGAAGCAAAAAGCATGCGTCTAAATAGTATGGCACCTGTTCTTCAGACTGTTGTATATTTAGGAGGTAAGCAGTGTTTGCTGTCATATATGTCATATGCCTATGGTGAATAGTTAGGCAAATGTAGTGCTGAAAGGAGGAGGATTGGATTAACTAGAAAGGGTGTCCTCAAACAAGGGTTTAGTTTGGTTCTGAACTAGTAAACTTTTATATGACTGCACAAAGTGGGTGAAGTTAAACTTTTCAAAAGTAAAAAATACTTGGGTATTTTGACACTGTATGAAGTCTTAAAAAATTGTAATACTTGTTAGTCATAGCTTTACAATTGTGTTTTGATATAATATTGGGCTTTAAAATTACATAACTTTAAAAAAGCTGAAGTCAAAACTGGTTTCTTTTAAGTTGTGTACAGTCTTGCTTTAAAATACTTAAAATTTATAGAATTCTGTTGATATACAGCTTTCTACTACATACTGTAAACTTAATTTTCTGTGTGAGTAAAGTTAGGCATTTGTTCTTAAAATTTGGATTGACAAATGCATTAAGGCCTAGGCTCACTAAGTAATACTTCACCAGTCCCTGCTATGGTTTCTTTGACCTTTGTACTATTGTATGCAAGTTTTGATTTTAACACTCTTTAAGTTAACAATTGCATTTTTCACCCATAAACTTCACTAATGTGAGCAGCTGAGAAGAAAGATATCTTGTGCGCAAATTAGTAAAACCTATACTATATATTAAAGAAGCCTTTATTGCCTGCTCTAGCATTTGCTTTCCCTTCTTGGTCTCCTCTCCTTAACGGGCAGCAGCAAAGAATTTTAAGGAAGATTCTTTTTGCTTGCTTGCTTGCTTGCTTTCAGATCTATTGGTACAGTAGTTCTGTTATTAGCCATCCTACGTTTTTGTTTGTTTCCTTGTTTTGAAGAAGTCCTACACTGTTTCTAGACTTATTTCGTACTGATTCTTTTGGAGTAAAATGTTCACGATGGCTTTGGTTTTTTTTTGTGTTATATATTTAAAATGTTTTATTGGGTTAACTTAGTTAATAAGGTCTCTAGTTTCTATCAGGAATATTGAATTTGCCTTAGGTGCCTTCAGTCTACTGAGATTGCTTGTGAGATGCATATTTTAAAATGTATGTGTTGAATACATAATTTGTGGGAGGATGTAGTGAAGCATCAGTGGATTTTTACTGTAAACCTAAACTTATTTTTAAGAAAGACAATCTAGAATTAAGACAACTTACATATTATTATGTGCAGTCTCCGGTGCGATTCCATCTACACATATTTTTAAAGTGTTAATTATGGAATAGTTTCAATAGAGAACATGAGCTTAAGGAATACCCCATATTGATGTAAAATTTTAATGGGGAATATTTTTTTCCCTGGCTTTGGGAGAGATATTAAAAGGAACTTTGCAGTATGATTCTGTTCTCCGTAAAAAGAATTTATAGTAAAGGTCTTAGAAACTTGGAACGAAACCAAAGGATCATGTCTTAAAGCTCTTCTGTCTCTGATTCTTCCTTACCTTGAACTCAGGTAAAGCATTGTTAATAAGGTCGTAGGACAGTTGTTTCTTAACTTTTATATAACATGAATTACCAAAATTCCACAGACAGTCCACTTCAAGCCCTAGATCAGTCCAGATCTCCAGAGAATGAGAGGCCTATGTATTTTTTAAAGTTCTACAAGTGATTCTTTCTTCACAGTAGTGCCTGTTACAGAGAAAAATCACTACACTACACTTTTCTTTTTTGTAATTTCATAGTAGATTCATTAAATCTTGTCATGGAAAAGACACTAGGATTTGCAAATCACTATTCTAGACCAGCTTTTGAAAATCCTGAAAATAGAAAATTCAGGAGATTCCCCCCTTAGAAATGAAGAAATCAAGTTAAGTCTAAGCAAAATATCTCCTACTAACTTAAAGATCTTTAAGCAGCAACATCTATCATGTTACGACTTGTAAAAGTTAGAAACTGCCAGTTAATCAGCACTATAACCTTCTGAGGTAGGTATTCCTATTTTACAGGTGAGGAGACAAATTTAGGTAGGTTAAATAATTTTGCCAGGGTCACCTAGCCATAAAGTATTGCAGCTGAGATTCAAACCCAGGTCTGTCTGATTCCAAAGCCTGTGGTCATATCACCACTCTTGTAACCATTATGTTATACTGTCTTAGCACTTTTTTATAGAGTGGAATCTGACTTGTAATTCTTCGTCTAGTTTTGTGTGGCCCACACCACTTGAGTACATTTCAATGAAGTTTTATTGAGCCCCCATGATGCTGCTGCAAGGCATAGTTTATATATATTGCTAATGTGTCCTTATATTTTTCTTTGTAGTTTGTATATAGTAAGTGGATTTTGGGTATATACAAAATGCTTGTTTGCCAAGTGTAGAAATATGACATACCTAATACAAGAAAATGTAGTCAAAGAGTTTTTGTTCTTTTTTTTTTGAGATGGAGTCTGGCTCGACTGTTGCCTGGGCTGGGGTGCAGTGGCACCATCTCAGCTCACAGCAAGCTCCGCCTCCGAGTTCATGCCATTCTGCTGCCTCAGCCTCCCAAGTAACTGGGACTACAGGTGCCTGCCACCACGCCTGGCTGATTTTTTTATATTAGTAGAGACGAGGTTTCACCGTGTTAGCCAGGATGGTCTCGATCTTCTGACATCGTGGTCTGCCCACTTTGGCCTCCCAAAGTGCTGGGATTACAGGCTTGAGCCACCGCGCCCGACCGACAGTGATTTTTCATAAAGGTGTTGCCTTTATTCTGGGATTTTTTCCCTTCATACATTTTTACTGTTAGGCGTTTCCTTTTTCAGATGATGGTGATAATAGAGTTAAAAAAAATTTATTGATGGTATTAAGGGAGTCCACTACCTTGTGTCAGATTCCCTGTTTCTTTTTGAAGTCCTTGAAATGAAGTTTAGGGACCACTGATCTAGAATTCTCTGTATGCTCCTCCACTACCCATTAACCCCACTCTATAGTCTGCCTTTTCGCACTACTCTCCCCTCACTCCCTTCTAAACACTTTGTATGACACTATGTTTTCTGTTCATGATTGACCTTCAAATTGCCAAATCCTGTGGCCTTATAGACCATATGTACCTAACCAACACTCTGCTGTTAACAAGTTCTTCAAAATTCTTTTCTTTTGCTTCCACTCTGTTTTTCCTGTCATCCACTTATCACTTTTCTTCATATGTTTTCTTTCTTTTGTTCCCAGTTGTTGTTACGTGGGGTTCTGGTTCTGTTTTATGTTTTCACTGTATATTCAGAATCAGATTTTTGGCTACCATGTACCATCTTAATAATACCTAACATTTATTTACTCTTTCCTAAGTGTTATTCCTGTGCCCCAGTATTTCAGTATTCATTTAATTTGTTCAGTATTCATTTAATTCTCAAAACAACTCAGTGAGGTTGATACAGGTATAATTGGCGTCTTTTTTTTTTTTTCTTTTTTCTGACACTGCCATATTGAGGTCCAGAGGTTAAGTAATCTATGCAACTAGGAGGCAGTAGAACTGGGATTTAAACTTAGACTGCCTGTAGAGGCCATGTTCTTTTTTTTTTTTTTTTGAGACGAGTCTCGCTCTGTCGCCCAGGCTGGAGTGCAGTGGCCGGATCTCGGCTCACTGCAAGCTCCGCCTCCCGGGTTCACGCCATTCTCCTGCCTCAGCCTCCCGAGTAGCTGGGACTACAGGCGCCCGCCACCACGCCTGGCTAGTTTTTTGTATTTTTTATTAGAGACGGGGTTTCACCGTGTTAGCCAGGATGGTCTCGATCTCCTGACCTCGTGATCCTCCCGTCTCGGCCTCCCAAAGTGCTGGGATTACAGGCTTGAGCCACCGCGCCCGGCACAAGGCCATGTTCTTAACCACTACTAGATTTTTGGCATCCAGATGTCCCTTGTATATCTAATTTCCTGTTTAGTTTTTCTTCCTCCAATTCAATGCATCCATTCAGTTAATCTCAAGTGCCTGCCTCTTCCCCTTGACAAAACACACTTGTTCATTCTTTATTCCTTGCCGCATTAAAGTTAACACTATCCTCCCCATCCCTAGTACTATAGAGGTCATTGAACCTTCCCCCTGCGTATGTTTGGCCTGTGAGTTTTATTGATTCCAGCATGATTATTTGGTGGTATTTGAGTGCGATTTTATGCTAGATCCTGGGTGTATAATGATGTATGAGACAAATACTTTGTCCTCAGGGAGCTTATACTCTAGAAATAATTTTTTTTTTTTTTTCAAGAGAGGGTCCTGCTCCGTTGCCCAGGCTGGCGTGCAGTGGTGCCAACATGGCTCACTGTAGCCTCAGCCTCCTGAGCTCAAGTGATCCTCCTGCCGCAGCCTCCTGAGTAGGTAGGACTAC